GTCCCCTCATTCCCAAGTCCTGATGATGAAATGCAGCAGGTAAGAAGCAGACTACTCTTTCTGTTTCTTGTTGTTGAGACAGGGTTTCATATAGCCTAGGCTAGCCTCACTATGTAGCAGAAGATGACCTTGAACTTCTGATATTTCCATATCTACTTTCCAAGTGCTAGGATTATAGATGTACACACCTGATTTATGTTAAGTGATATTAGGGATGGAACCCAGGACCTTGTGAACTACCGGTAGGCAAGTACTCTACCAACTGAGCTACATCCACAGCCCAACTCTAGCTTTTAATGAAAACCAGCAGCATGAATGATCTACAGATCTAAGAAACTACAAAGCAGTTTGGAAAACTTTATCATGGAGGCTTTTACTTTTAGACAAGCTTTTACTAGGTAGTCCAGGCTGGCCTTTGAGGTCATGCAATTTTCCTGTCTCTGCTTCCTGAGACTGGTCTCAGAAGCCAGACTGACCTTGAACTTGCTATGTAGCCAAGGATAACCTTGAACTCATGATTCACCTACCAAGTGCTGGGATCACAGGTGTGCCTCACCATGGTGGTGAGTTCTAGACAAGACCCTTGTCAGATATATGATCTGCAAATATTCTTCTATTCAGTGGTCTTTTTCATTCTCTTGATATTGTGCTTCAAAGCACAAAATACTTTTAACAATATCTGTATTTTTCTTCAAAAATCTCATGCATGCATAAAATGTATTTAAAAATTTAAAAAATGTATTTTGTATTATTATTATTATTATTTTGTATTACGTCTAAGTGCACTCCTGTGTCATGTAGTACCTGCGGAGGACAGAAGTGGCCACTGGATCCTCTGGAACTGAAATTACAAATGGTTGTTAGCTGACATGTGGGTGCTGGGATTTGAACCTTGGTCTTCTGCAAGAATAGCCAGTGCTCTTAATGACTGAGCCATCTCTCCAGCCCACAATGCATTTTTAAAAATCTTTTTTGTTTTTTGAGACAGGGTCTCCTTGTAGCCCCAGCTGGCCTGGAACTCACTGTGGAAACCAGACTGGCCTTGACCTCACAAAGATCCTTCTCAGCTGCTGTGAGTTGATGTGTGCATTAGATAGTATTTCACAGCACTACTCCTCATCCTCCTGTTTCTGCCTCCCGAGTGCTGGGATTAAAGGTGTTTGCCACTATGCCAAGCCCCAGTATATTTTTTTAGTGATTTATGTGCTCAAGTGTTTTGCTTTCATGTATGTATTTATACCAGGTGCATACCTGATGTCTGAGGAGGCCAGAAAAGGCATCAGATCTGGAACTGGAGTGACAGAGGGTTGTGAGCCACCAAGTGGGTGCTGGGACCTGAACCAGGGTCCTCTACAAGAACTAGTGCTATTTTTCTTCAAATTGTATTTATTTATTTGGTCTTTTTGAGACAGGGTCTCCCTGTAGCCCCAGCTGGCCTGAACTTGCTATGTAGACCAGGCTGGCCTTGAATTCAGAGAGATCCGCCTGCCTCTGCCTCCCGAGTACTGGGACTAAAGGTGCAAGCCACTGTGCCCGGCCTATTTATTTTTATTTAATTGCACTTGATGATTTTGCCTACATGCATGTGTGTATTTGCCTACGTGCAGAAGACTATTTCATTGCACTCCTCTCCATCCTCTAGCTCTTACATTCTTTTCACTCACTCTTCTGAGATGTTTCCTAAAGCCTTGGGATGGGTGGGGGGAGGTTGATATAGATGATTCATCTACAGCTGAGCACTCAGGTCACTGAATCTTGGCACTTTGACCAGTTATTGGTCTTTGCATTAACCGCTACCCAATGCAAAAACAACAACAACAACAACAACAACAACAACAACAACAAAACTCTGACCAAGGCTGAAAGCAGCACAAATCTATAGGTGTAAGCATAAATATTAAGGTAGTTTGAGCCAGGTGTGGTGGTATACCTTTAATTCTAGCTCAGGAGGCAGGGCATGTGGACCTCAGTGAGTTTGAGGCTAGCCAGGTCTACAAAAAGCAAGTTCCAGGCCAACCAAGGCTGGTTGAGATCCTGTCTCAAAAAAAAAAAAAAAAAAAAAGGATGATCATTTAGAGACAAGAATAGTAGGTTCCCCTCTAGGGCCTGTGATGTCCCTGGTAATTGGCTTTTGAACAGGCTGAAAGTACCAGACCTGAAATGCCTCCTATGGAGCGGGCCAAACAAAGTGCCTGGTTACCCTCGAAACCACCATGCCACTGTTGCACCAGTGGGCACAACTTAAACCTGGCAGGTTGGTGTTGTAGCATGTAGTGCCCAGCACCAGGTAAGGCCACTGATGTCTTCTCTCTCAGTAGCCTGCATTGCGCCTTTCAGCACTATGAAAACTAGCCATCAGGAAGAGTTCCTGATCAGTTTGAGATAGATTTCTCCATGTCCTACTACTGAAGTGGGTCTTACCGTTTACTTATGGTGGGCAACCGAGGGCAATGCAATACCTTGTGTTGTTTTGGGGCCTCTCTGATCAGTATCTGGCAGGTAGGTGTCCTGTATTTGGCACTTAGATTGTCATTATATAACTCATGCCTTTGGGGAACAATATTGTCCACACATTCATGGTCCCTCTGAGCAAACGCCCTTTAAAATATTTAATTAGCTTAAATTAGTGCATTTCCATTAAGGCTTAGTCATACATCCTTAGTTTTGATTAACCTGTCCCCTACCCCCTTCTCTCCCCTATCCTCTTGCCCCTATCCCCAGCTAAACCTTTAATCTGGAGTATTTGCTACCTGTGTTCTACTATCTCATCTAAATTTTTATTTTGTATATATGTTTTGCCTGTGTGCATGTAAATGCACTACATGTGTACATTGGATAGTCATTAGTCACCATGTGGGTACTGGAAACTGAACTTGTGTCATTTGCAAGAATGCCCAGAGCTCTTAAGGGCTGAGTCATCTCTCCAGCCATATATATTTTTTTGGGGGGGGGGTCTTTTTGAGACAGGGTCTCCCTGTAGCCCAAGCTGACCTGGAATTTGATATGTAGACCAGGCTGGCCTTGAACTCATAGAGATCCACCTGCCTCTGCCTCCTGAGTGCTGGGACTAAAGGCATGCGCCATCATGCCTAGTGTTTATTATATTTTTTACTTAGGCTGTAAGAACTTAGGTTTCCAAATAGCTTTTTCATATCCACTTCATTTAGCACAAAATGCTTTGCTTAAAAATATTCTATTTTATGTGTATGAGTGTTTTGCCTTGTATGTTAAGTGTACCACATGTATGCAGGGCCTGTGGAGGACAGAAAAGGGTGTCATATCTCCTGGAACTGGAGTTATGGACGACTGTTAGCTACCATATGGGTGCTAGGAACTGAACCCAAGTCTTCTGCAAAAGCAACCAGCACTCTTAACCACAGAGCCATCTCTCCAGCTCCTACTTTGTTTTTTTTTTTCAAGTGCTGGGATTAAAGGTATGTGCCAACATGCCTGGCCTCAAGATAAGATATTCTGTAGTCCAGGTTAGCCTCAAATTTGAGATTCTCCTGCCTCTGCTGGGATTATAGGTGTATACTGCCTAACTCAGTTCACAGGACTTTAAACCACCTCTTCAGTCTGCTTGGCTTTGTGTCTTTGGCCCACTACTGGCTTAACATAACCTCTGGCATATGCTTAATCACTCTTCTCAGCTTCAACTTCTTTCTCCCTAAGAGCACTGTGAAGATCAGGGATAATGGGACAGCAATCCCCCCCAATCCCCCCCCCCCCCCCCCCGCCGCCGAGACAGGGACAAGTGCTGGGATTAAAACTGTGCACCACCACGCCTGGCTGGGACAGCAGTTAACTACTTAATGAATATGCAGTATCAATGACTGGAGTGTGTGCACGTGTATGTGTTATGTGGAAATGGTCATAAAGCAAGTGTTAGCTCTCAGACAGGCAGACTTTTTAGGAAGAATGACATTTGGAAATACTGTATACTCTATAATGGGACTCCTCAGAGGACTAGATGAAACTCTTCAAGATGTTCACCCATGTGAACTACACTTCTATACTTCTTGTTGTGCTAGTGATAGAAACAGGGTCTTATGCATGTTAGGCAAGCACTTTGCTACATTGCCACCTCCCCAGCCCTCATTAAAAAACAAAACAGTGTATATATTTATGTGGGCATATGTGTATGCGTCGTGTTTTTTTTGTGTGTGTGTAGGTCATGGGTCAACCTCATATACTGCTCCTCAGGTACTGGGACCTTACCAAGTAGGCCAGGCAGCCCAGCCGGCCAGTAAGCCCTAGGGATTCTTTTTCTGCCTCCCCAGCACTGGGATTATAAGAGCTCACTACACATCTGGATTTTTTTTTTTTTTTAACCTTTTAGGTCCTCATCCTTGTGTAGCATTTATGAACTGCTCTATCTCCCCAGACCCAAGTTGTTTTAAATGATTTTTAAAAATTATTTTTATTTTATGTATATGGGTGTATTGCACGCATGTGTGTAAGTGCACCTGTGTTATGCAAGGCCTGCAGAGGTCAGAAGAAGGCGTCGGATTCCCCTGGACCTGGATTTATGAATGGCTGTTAGCCACGATGTGGGTGTTGGGAACTGAACCTGGGTCCTCTGCAAGAGCAATCAGTGCTCTTAACTGCTGAGCCATCTCTCCAGCCCTGTTTTAAATAATCTTTATTATTTTTGTTTTATATGTACAAGCGTGTTGCCTGCATGTAAGTACACCTGTGCTGTGCAATGCCCATGGAGGAGGTCAGAAAAGGGCATCAGATCCCCTGAAACCGGATTTATGAAGAGTTGTTAACCACCATATGGGTGCTGGGATTCAAATCCAGGTCCTCTGCAAGAGCAGCCAGTGCTCTTAACTGTTGATCCATCTCTCCAGCCCCCATAAACCTATCTTCTACTGGTTGTTTCTCTGGGAACCGTGACTATTCTCACCAGTACAGGGCTCTGGCAAAGTACAACTCATCTGAAAGTTCCTATTTCTACAAATTAAATAAAAACACAATTAGAATTTTTAATAGGTGCTAAAACTTGGTTTTTGAAATTTTATTAAAAAAATATATTTGCAAACATATAAAATTTAGGATGAAAAATGCTCATTTTAAAACATGTAATAACTTAATATTTGCAAACATACACAGATGGTAAAAAATCCATACCATTAAAAATGTTAATGACGCAGTATTGCGCTCATGGAACATAAATGTCACTGTCAGAATTCTTCGTCCCCATGTCCAGAGAGTGGAGAACCTGGTAGAATGAAGTCATGAGAGCCACGTGGCCAAAGTAGTAATATAGAGCGAAAGACCACTCAGAACACATACTTTAAAAACACGTCTCCTACAGATTCACACGGGCAAAACGGGGAAACAATTTTGCATTTTTCCCACTTCAAAGTGATCGATATTGCATCGTAGCATTTTAAGAAAGATGTTAAATCTGAATCTGGGTGAAACATCGCACGTCTCTCCTGCTGAAATCTGCTGAAACAAGTAAGTGAGCAAACAAAGTAAAACCAAACCCAGCTTCTTGAGGCTCTGGCCCACTCTTGGAAATGCTCCCAAGCGCAGCTTTAAAAGACCTACTGTAAGTTGCTCTGATCAGACCCTAACATTTTAGATTCTTGCAAACAGGGCACTACTGGTTCCAGAACGTGCTCTGAACACAACTCAAGAAAACCAAAGGCAGGCAAGGAAGAAACACAGGCTCCACATGGGGTGTGCAGCAAGGACACAGGTCTCGGGTCATGATTCCTCAGTCCTCTCCATGCAACAGTGTCTGCCTGTGTCCACGCCCCTTCCCACTTCTCTATGAGTTACAAGTATGGTGCTGATTTTGTTTTTAAGCAGTTAGGCACCTTCAGTTTCATGTTGCATTACTAGTGATACAATGGCAGTTATGGCCTCTATTACCAAAATGAGAAAAATTTCAAATTTCCAACTACATTCTTTGCGGGGGGGGGGGCACAGAAGGGGGGAGGGGGTAATAAAGCTGCATGGTTTAGAAACACTTACTCAGTAGTGGATTCAATGGGATTTATAGTTCTGGTAAGAAAATACAGGCCAGAAACAGAACAAATGCTTGCACATGCAAAATCTGGTTATTGATATTCTACACTAAATCTATGTATCCTCCTGCAGAGAAGGGCCCAGGGTCTTGACTTGGGTTCTGAACGAAATGTTCAAGGTAAGCCACAGACTGCATGAACTGCTTCTCCTGATACTGATGGTCACTTGAAATAAGGACTAAAGTCAAGCAGGTCAAGTGGATCAACCATCACACACCATGACCTCCAAGAGAGGTGCACAACAAATGGAACAAAGCGGTCTGAGAGGTCTTGGGGGATGGCTGGGTGGGCATCCATTCAAAGACATCACATTAACCACATCAAGAGCAGCGTCACCCACTGGTAACACCTCAGACACACTGTGGCATCCCAAACTCTGGGCTGTTCCTTCCAGACCTCCTACGCTTGGACTGTAGGGGTGAGAGGGTTGAAATGGGTTCTATTGGGCAGAGTGGTCTAGATGCAGGTCTCCTCAGGTTCTGCCAACCTAGCAAGAAGCAACTCCAATGTCCCTTTCAGTTCAGCAAAGGTTCCAGCAAAGACACCATAACAATGTAAACATGCAACCTAAGCTAGCAGGAGGTCTGGATAGTAGCCTGAACAAGGAGTAAGGCAACGGAATCGACTTTCAGGCCAGGCTCATCCAACTGCCACCACCCAGGCTTGGCCTGGCTCTCTGGGGGCTCATTCTGGCCTGACATCCTTGTAATCATGACCAGGAACTTCTGGCTTCTGAATTTTAAGTAAATGCTTGGAATATATAAACTTGGGAGCTGAAACAGGTTACCCTTTTCAAGTCTCCATCACTTGGGCACTTAAAAGTTTATGTTCACACTAAGGAAGCCTTCTCAGCCTTTACCATTTATCGTATTCATTCCTAGGACTGAAGGGTGGAAAGTAACAGATTTGACTATGAAAGCTCTTTAGGACATCCGCTCTGTACTCTCTCAGAATATTATACATACTTAAAAGCATCACTTAAATTCAAATATCCACTGTAAGAATCCCTTGATTCATCATTTTACTGGCGTCCACTTAGACCACACTTGGATGTGGTCAACCCACTGGTGGCTGGTGCATTCATTTTATGAGACCATTTCCTGTGCCAGCAGCACTCATTATGCCTACTGCTTTGTCTTTCCTAGATGACGCTCGAGCAATTCATTTTTGGTTGCTAAATTTACATACTATCACGAAAACTATCCCTAATTGAGTATGAAAAGTCTAAGCTTCCCTGAATTCTGCACAATTCACACACACTAGGTAGACTGTGAGAGAGGACACTGAACTGAGAAGCAGAAAGGTTGTCAGGAGGCATGTTGTGATCAGCACAGGCCCATCAAAGTACTGTTTAGGCTAAAAAACTAAGACCAAACTAAAATCTGTAATTCATAAGTAATTTTCTAAAATTCCAGCTAGAAAGAAATTGGATGAACTTATGATTGAGTTACCATTAAAGCTTAAATGATTGTTCCCAAGGAACTATCACGACTGTCAGCATTATTCACAGCTAATCCTTACATTAGCCGGCTGAGCCAATTGGGTTCTTACCCATCATTAAATAGTGCTCAGAAAAGTAAGCAGTGCATCTTAATTGGTTAAATACTACAAAATGACCTGTGTCATTGAAACGAAGACACTTTTCATTCAAAGAATATCTTAAAATTGCTATTGCTGAAATAATCAAATTCTACATTAAAATATTACTAAACACCATTACATGCCATAAAAGAATAAATATAAATTGTGGCAGATCAATAGCAGCATAACAAAGCATCTTTACATATTTTCACACTTTGGGCTGGGAAAGCTCTCACAGCCAAGGAACATACTGGTGAAGTTTGAGTCGCACACTTTCTTTTTAAACTCCATATTCTACTACAAAGTAAGGGCAGTGTGAGTAACAGCTCCTTTTCTGCATAGCTTAAAAACTGCTCTCAGCACATCTGAGGAATGGAACCAGAACAGCTTTGTCAAATTGGTCCTCTGGTCCTTGTGTTAAAGTGTTAAGGAAAACAATCAACAATGACCTCTAACTGTGTTTAGACAGAAAAGGAAAATAAGGCTGTGCTTCACACACAAACTTAACACTTGCAAACCACTGGAGAGTTTGACTGAAAATGGAGCTTTCTGTAAGCTCTGGATCTGTGTGGCCCCAGCTGGTGCCTGCTGTGGAGGCACCATGCCTCCTCCAGCACACAGCCCAGCAGGACTCTACTCAAACAGCCACTTTGTGAAGTCTGCCCATGGCAGGACTAGAACACTTAAAACAAAACACAAAGAAATCCCAGAAGCTTTAAGGCCCAAATGGGGGTGCTCATAGAAAACATACTTCATTTGAACAAATACCTTCCAGTTAATCCTTAAAACTTGAAGCTTCTTTGTGGAGCTGTTCGGTTGACAGCTTTTAGGGGCAGGAGAGGGAGAGTGCCGGCTCTGCTGGGCTCTGCTGCAAGGCTGGGGGCTCCTCCCAGGGGCCTTGAAAGCAAGCCGAAAACCAGACTCCATATCCACATACTCCCTTATAGCTGATGAAACAGCCTCCAACTCAACACAATGATCTTTTTTGTTTTTGTCAAAACAAAGGTCTGCTGGTGATGCTTCACAGTGCAACCTCCATCATCACTGAGAACGACACTTAGAAAATGTCCTTAAGGAAAGAGTTTCTCTCATAGGCTCAAATTTGAGATTCTCAAAGCTCAAAGCTCCTTTCAGAAAGCTGTTTTCCATGATGAAGTCTGCTTGCTCGTGAGGCTGACCCTCCCTCAGACAGACTTCACTCTAGTCAGAGGCTGTGGTTGTCTTTGCTCTTGGTCAGAACCTGCAAGTAAACTTCATGAAGTGTGCTGAGGAAGCTGGGGTCATTCTAGAAGAGATAGATGGCAAAGGTGAAAACACAGACATCAGGCACTTCCTCACAACTTAACAACTTAGTAACAACTTAAGTGATTGGTGTAATTAATTACCCAAATAATCTCATCCCCCCAGATAAACATGATGAATGTCCTAGAGTTAAATCTCATTATTCAGCTAGGAATATATTCTTGGGAAGACAGAAATGTTGCTCTCAGACAGTCTTTTGAATTTATTTAAACATAAAAACCGTTATTATAGAACACAAAATTTAAGACTAACTGATGTCTCCATACCTTTATTAGATGTATCAATGTGTCCTGGAGCTGAGACCTGCTGAGAACAATGGAAGGCTTCCTCTGATTTTCTGGGGTTCCAACAGTGAGGGGAGAAGGGGAGCTTGCTTTCCTCTCAAGGTCTGTAGACCTGGGAACTGTTTGCTGGAATACACTGGGGGACAGCAGGACTGAGGATACTGCTGTGGTCGTTGCAGTAACCAATGGAGGGCCTGTGACCTGCAGAGAAACCAGAGTTGACTGCACAAAGTGTAGAAGCTAACACCAAGGGTGAGAGGAGGGGACATCTGATAAGAGGCATTAGCAGTATGAGGCTGAGGGACACAGCAGAGGCAACACTATTTTCCTTTCTTCCCTTCTCTACTTTTATCCTCCTTTTCCCTTCCCTCCCTCCCTTCTAAGATAGGGTCTTGCTAGTTCTGGCCAGCCTAGAAATCACTATGTAAAGCAGGCTGTCCTCAAACTCATAGATCTGACTGCTTCTGCCTCCTGAGTGCCAGGATTAAAGGCGCGCACCACTATTTAATTTTGTGTTTGTGTGTGTGCAGGCATACACATACCATGGGGCATGTGTGGAGGTCAGAGATGACCTTGATGCCAGTCCTCACACTCACCTTGAGACAGGGTTTCTCTGTTGTTTCCTGCTGCATGTGTCAGGCTAGCTGGACTGTGAGCTTCTAGGAATTCTCCTGTCTCCACCTCCCATCCCAGGAGCTCTGGGATTACAGAGGCATGCTACCATGTCTGCCTATATGGGTCTTGAGTTTTGTAGTAAGTGCATTATCCACTGAGCACCTTCCCAGCTCTTGCTCTTTGTTCCTGTTCCTCCTCCTTCCCTTCTTAACATCCAGGGCCTCCTAAATGCTAGGCAACACCCAACCACTGAGCTATACTCTCAGCCTCCAAACAGTAACTAAAAATAAAAAAAGCCCACTTACAGGAGAATCCCTACTATGGGGATTGGTGACAGAAGGTATATCATTAACACTAAGAAGAAGCCTGACAAAGATATAAAATTTCTTTGGGGGTGGGGCTGAGGAAATGACAGGACAAAAGCATGAGGGAACTTTCTGGAGTGATGAAATGTTACCTATTTTGACTCTGTTGTTCATTACCCAAGATACATACATATGTATGTGTCATATATATGTATGTCATAACTCAGAGCTGCACTTTATATATAAATTATAATAAAAAGACTTTGACCTACACACACATACACACACACACACCCTATTGTCATGCCTGTACTCCACATACCTACCTGCTTTACTCTGTAAAAAAAAAAATTGGGCCGTGCGTGGTAGTGCAGGCCTTTAATCCCAGCACTCTAGAGGCAGAGGCAGGTGATCTCTGAGTTCAAGGCCAGCCTGGTCTACATAGTGAGTTCTAGGCCAGCTGGGGCTACAGGGAGACTCTGTCTCAAAAAGACCAAAAAAAAAAAAAAAAAAAAAAACCAAACTCCACCGTACTCCTGTGTGGGAAAAAAAAAAGAAAAGAAAAAAAAAGAGGTCTTTCTTACCGGGATGGCACTGGGTAACACCTTAGGCTGAGCAAATACTTCAGGATCCTGGTTTTGCTGCATAGACTGAAAAAAACAACCAAAACAAAATCCTACAGATACGGCAAGTTTCAGTTAGCTACCAGTGAGATATCTAAGTTAGCAATAAGGAACAGTTTAGACATTAGTCCCTAGACTGCTGAGGGAAGGTGACAAGAACTTGTGACAATGCAACCAATGACTCATCTCATGGGTGAGCTGCTCTTGAGATCCCCCAGAAAAAGATGTGCAGGTCAGCCTTTAAGGTGACTCTCCAGGAAAGTGGGACGGGGACTGAACCCAGGGCCTGTGCGTGCTAGGTAGATGCTCTATCAGCGAGCTACAACCCCAGCCCTGGAATTTGTATCTTTGGAGGCTGAGGCTGGCCTTGAATTTGCAATCCTCTTACCTCAATTTCTCAAGAAGGTGGGATGACAGGTCTGTGCTACCATGCCTGGCTTTGGAACCCATATCTCTTGTAGAAGTTAGGGACAGCCCAGGCCTATGTTTGCTGCTGAGTGTAGAGATGGTCAGCTGACTAAAATTTTTTTTTTCCTGTAGTGCTAAAAAGTTGAACCAAGGGCCTTCCACATGATAAACAAGTGGCTCTACCACTAAGCTATGCCAATCCCAGCCTGATGCTTCTTGAAGGGTTATCTGAATTGGGACAGGTGGCACTAAACAGTTTTCATCCTTAGTAACATTTTGAATGCTCAGTTTTGTCCCCACTCACTGGAGGCAGAGAACTTCCTTTCTTTTTGGAGACAGGGGTAGCCTAGGTTGGCCTGTAACTTGAGATCCTCCTGCCTCAGTGAAGTGCTAGGATTCTAGGTGTGGACCATCACAGCCGGGAAAGAGTTATGTGTTGTACAGTAAGTACATGGGAACTCAATGAAGATCCAGGTCCTAAAATTAGCTACTGCCATCTAAATGATTATATATGCAAGTGATTCCTGCTATGAAGCATGCCAAATGTAGTGCTATCCCCCAAGGCCAGAATCTGGACACTGCTGCTTGAGGTTCTAGATCAACGGAGACAGTGGCAGCAGGTGCATTTCAGGGGCGTGGCACCTATCCATGGAGCAGAGTACTTCCTTCTGCTCTCTCAAAATATTTTATTTTTATTTTATGTGTAGGAGTGCATTGCCTGCATGTATGTAAGTGTGCCCATATCATGCAATGTCCATGGAGATCAGAAGGGGGTGTTGGATTCCCCTGGAACTGGAGTTACAGTTGTTAGTTGCCACGTTGGTGCTGAGAATCGAACCCTGGTCCTCTGCAAGAGCAGCCAGTGCATCTCACCAGCCTCTCCTCTCCTCTTTATATTGCAGAAAATTTCATTACGATAACGTAATAACGAAACCAAGATATCAAGCTTCTTGTCCTTCTAGGCAAGATTTCAAAGGAACAGAACACAGCATCTGATATAGGAATAATACACAATGATTATGGAAGGGTTCTTCTGAAGAGAGAGGTGTTCAGGGTGGTATGGTTGCAGAGGCAATGGGCTTTTCTATACAGTATACTGGGTAATGTAAGACTGGGAACTGTTATCAAGTGGCATTAGGCCAAATCCAGAAAGGCAACCATTGCTGGTTCAGACTAGCAAGCTCTACCCCCTTTCAGTTCTGTGATCTTGCACAAGCCACTTCAACTCTGAACTGATTTTCTCACTTGTAAACTTGCCACCTTTATGTCCTTCACAGTTGAAGGACAAATCTCTTCTTTACCCCTCACACCAATGTACCATGAAATCTCACTGATAATCTTAACAAATCTGTCCATACTTCCCAATCCAGGCCCCTGTCAACTCAAGACAAGGTGACCATCAGTTTGCTAATGGATGGCCATTTCCATAGGCCACTCTTTGCTCAGAACCTTTCAACACCCTTCCAATGTTGCAGAATGAAACTCCTTATACAAGTTACTCGCCTCTCAACACTACCTCGCCCAGCTTTCTTTCTACAGTAATTCCAGTTATAGAACACACATACACATACAAACCCATAATGTGGGGGACCAAACCCAGGGCCATTTGCATGTTAGGTATGTGCTGTACCAGTGACCTGCACTGCCAGCTCCCACACTATTGATGTCTAAGTTGACCAACTGTTGTGCTTCCATCTCTGTGTCTCTGCACGTTTGCCTCCTGGACTCAAACACTATTCTCAGCTCTAGGAAAGATCTGAGTAACTTCTGAGTCTGCAGATAGCTTTATTTCACTGACACCCCCAGACGTGGGATGTTCTTATGGTAATCCTGAGATGCCTGTCACAAGGCAGGAACTTGAGAAAACCGAAGCGGGAGAGTGAACCTGAGCTTTGATTATATAATCTGTGGTCCTGAGGCAAAGGAAGACCCCTAGAACAGTCATGCAAAACCAAGGAACATTCACTAAAGTGCCAGAAACAGAATTAAGCTACATCATCATTTACTACTAATTATGAGTAGTTCTCATGGGCTTTCTTACCAGCCCTTTCTCTTAGTATACTTTTTAATACGCTTTCCTTTTTCTTTTTTGAGATAGTCTCACTAAGTAGCCTAGACTGACCTTGAATTTGCAATCCTCTAGCCTCCTAAGTGCTGTGATTACACTTCTGTGCCACCAAACCCAGTCCTGATATATTTTAAAGACAACTCTTTAAAACTACTTTGGCGGGCTGGTGGTCTGGGTATGCTGTAACACAGAACAGAGAAAACACACACACACACACACACACACACACACACACTGTTCATCAGTGAAAACCAAGGTCTTGTACTTTCATTCCTGCACACCTTCCTGCTCCTGTCATTACCTGAAGGGGAGCAAGCACCATGTTGCTCAGGGAGGCTGAGGCTGCTGCTCTTGCTGTTGTCTTAGAGGGAGGCTCTATGAAGCTCTCAGGGGTGGCCAATTGGCCAGCTGCTGAAAAGTTGGGTGCCACTGCACCTTTTCCAAGTGGCTGTGTCTGTATTTGGTCATGCTGAGGGGTCAACCTGAGTTTCTGGAGCAGATCAACACTTGGGAGGGATGTGCCAGCTGTGTTTGCCAGGCTCACTGGGGCTCTGAAAGGACTCTGGCTGGCAATCAGACTTCCGTGGCTTAGCTCAGGGACTGGCTGGTTCAGGAGTGGAGACTTCTGTCTAGGCGTCTTCACTGCTTGCATCATGGTGCTGTTCCGAGGTAAGCTGGGGGGAACCTGTGTGGTAGGGGTTTCGGCTGGCAGAGTGGGACTGAGAACAGGGCTCAAGGGAATTGTGTAGCTCGGGGCATGCTTTTCACCAGACTGTGTGATGGAGGCTGGAGTGATTAGCACCGGGGTGGCAACTTCAGGCTGGACTGTGTGGGGAGTGGTGGAGTGGACACCCAGGTTCTCAGACTGAGGGGCTCCTGACTGTTCAAAGGGAAAGGGGAAGAATGAGCTGGGTTCTTTCTGGGATGCATCTCCTGACAACTTCTCTACCTCTTCTGAATCCAGACCCACAACTGCTGGCTGTTCCTTTGGCAAAGAGGTTCCAAATAACTCTTCTACTGTCAGATGTTTGTGTCCAGATGGAGCAGACTGAAAAACAAAATGAAACCACTCAATGAAAGATGTCTCTGGAAACCAGTGTAATCAAACTTCTTTTCTATTACCTGGAATAGTTTGTAAAAGCAAGGGCAGATGGAGGCTGCAAAATAAGGGCTGAAGCAATCTAAGATGTGCCAGGGTTCAGACCGGTCTAGCTGGTCTCTCCAAGTCAGTACATGGAGATCTGCCTCAATAGTAACATTTTAAGTATGGGTGTGGTGGTGCATGCCTTTAATCCTAGTACTTGGGAGGCAGAAGCAGGCTGATCTCTGGGATTTCCAGGTCAGCCAAGGATACATAGTGAGATTGTTTAAAAAAAAAATTTGACATGACCACTTACACTATAGCAGTAGATTCTCCTCTAGGGTCTATGATCTTTTTAAAAAATGTTTTATTTTTATTTCATGTGTATGAGTATATTGCCTGCATATAGGTAAGTGCACCCATGCTGTGCAATGCCCAAGGAGGACAGAAGAGGCCATTGGATCCCATGGAACTGGAGTTACGGACAGTTGTTAGCTGCCATGTAGGTGCTGGAATTCAAACCAGGGTCTTCTGCAAGAGCAACCAGTGTTCTTAACCACTGAGACATCTCTCCAGCCCCGGGTCTATGATCTTACAAGGCACTATAGTTGATGCATCTGAGGTATCACTGTGATAGCTCTATATTATGAGCTTATTTTTACAGGAAAACAGTTTTTCTATTGTTTTCCAGGCAAGTTTGTTTCATCCATCTGACAAATAATTACTGAGTTTAGCAGGTATTAGGCATTGGGCTGACTGAGAAGTAGAAGACAGGTAAAGACAACTGGTGACAGTGATTCCCTAGGGAAAGGCTGCAGGGCTCCATGGGAGGGGAGGAGGCCAGAACCAGGGCCTAAGTGGAGGAGAGAGATGAGTGGAGCTGACTGGAGAGGCTGGGAGGAAGGAGGGGTGATGAAGGGAGAGGGGAACATTGCTTAGAGTGCAGGGTGTCTGAGACACATTGGGGAGGTGTACTTCATCCTCAAGCACTGGAGTCAAGTCCAGGATACCAGCTTTACATTGTAGGATGTGCATTCTGGTGGCCACATAAAAGGCAGAGAAGTTCAGGAAGAAAAGGCATTCCTTTACCCAGTTGATTACTGGGACAAAGCCACAGTACTTTGTCAAACAGCAAGAGGCTGCCACTGTCTGGCTCTGGCTGGGTAACCTTGGAGCCATTCACTGCCGAGTCTCAGTAAGTCGGTAAAGTGGGGAGGGCCAGTAGAAGTAGAAATATATGGAACCAGCATACAGGATGTGATGGTATAGTATCAGCATGCCTAACAGTGGAAACCAAGTTTCTCCGAGGCAGAGGCTATCTTTCCCAGTTATATTTGAAACCTTTCTGTCCTTCCTCTTGGGCTTGCCTGCCCGCCACCCAGCACCACAGATCCAGTAAGGTCATAGAGGCTCAACAGTGTTCTGTCCCCAAGGCAGCATGAGGAGAGAGAGCTTAAGGGCAGCAAGCTCTGGGGGTGGTGTCATAAATGTCTATAGATAGCAAAGGGAAAAATTATTCTCCCCTAATCTAACAAATGTGGACTGGCATGGTGATGCATGCCTGCAAGCATCACTCAGGAGGCTAAGGCAGGAGGATAGTGAGTTTGAGGCCAACCTAGGCTAACAAGTGAGTTCAAAGTCACTCTGAACTACTCTCTGAGACTACCTTAAAAAACATGGGCTAGCATGCATTAAGGCTCTGAATTAGAATGCCAACTCTCTTCCCTGATCCCTCTGTCTCTGTGAGCCAGACATGCTAGCAAGTATCTATACTCCCGGTTATGCCAAGGCTTAAGCAGGAGGGAGGATCACTTCAGGCCATTCTGGGTAATAGAGTAAGACCTTGTCTTATAAATAAGAACAAAACCCAGAAACTCTGCACCCATTTAATTCCCTTTCTCTACAACATGAAAATGAATGATGTTATTTATTAGTGTCAGACTTGTTTCCACAGCATAGTATTCTCAAGGTTCATCCATGTTGGTAACATACTAGAATTTCATTACTTTTCAGGGTTGAATAACAGTCCACTGTAAGTACATCTGACATGCTGTCTAGGTATCTCTCTGCTGATGGGCACTTGTGGTGGTTCTTGCCTAGCACAGACAATGCTGCTATGAACAGTGCTGTGCAGGGGTGCTTGAGTTTCAGCTTTTGGTTCTTTTGAAGTACATTCTCACCACAGCAATCACTGCATCGTTAATTCCATGGTTTTTGGAAGGTGGTGGTGGATATGTGTGTACATTTGTGTACATGTGAAAGTCACAGATTGACATTGCATCTTCCTCTATTGTTCTCTATCTTATTTTTGGGGTCAGGATCTCTTGCTGAACCTGGAGTTCAAGGATTGGTTAGTGAACTGTAGGGATCCATCTGCCTCCATCCCTCTACTCCCAGGACTGGGTCTCAGGTATACGCTGATACACCCAGTCCTTTAAGTATGTGACAGAGATCTGAACTTACAGAGCCGGCACTTTACTGACTGAACCATCTACCCAGCCCCCAACTTTTCTATTTCTTTTTTTTTGCGTGATGCTGGGTATTAAATCTAGAGCACTGTGCATAGGCAAGTGTTCCGCCAGTGAGCTACATCCTTATCCCCTATGTTTAACTTTTGGAGGAATTACCAAGCTGTTTCACAGTGGCCACACTGTGTTAGCAATCTAAGAGGGTTCCAGATTCTCTACATCCTTGCCAGCTTTTTTAACTTTCCACCTTATTAGTTTAGCTCTTAGTGAGTACAGAGCAGTATTTCATTTCGGTTTGGATGTGCATGTCCCTAATAAGCAAGGAGGATGAGCACCTTTGCGTGTGCCCATTAGCCATTTATACATCTTATTTGGAAAAATGTCTTAGGGGTTTCTTTTTGGTGGTGCTGGCAATAACATCCAGGGCCTTGCACATGCCAGCAAAGGGCTTTACTACTGAGCTACAGTCCAAGCCTTGGAGAAATGTCTGCTAGTTTCTTGCTTGTTTTTGAACTGAACCCACTGTGTGCTAGAAAAGCTGCTCTACTACTGAGCTACACACATCCAGATCCTGGGTTTGTTTGTTCCTTCTTTCCGTCTTTCTCTCTTCCTTTCTTTGGAGACGGGGTCTCCCTGTAGCCCCACTGGCCTGGAACTCACTATGTAGACCAGGCTGGCCTTGAACTCACAGAGATTCACCTGCCTCTGCCTCCTGAGTGCCGGGATTAAAGGCATGCACCACCACCACGCCCAGCCCCTGGGTTATTTCTTGTCTATTTTTTGAGATGTTCCTACAAAAGCCGATGTTGACCTTGAACTTTCAATACTCCTGTCTCAAACAACAATTAAAAAAACCCCAAATCCCCAAACTATTATATATGTTATATATATGTTCTTCAAAATCAGAAAACTCGTGTGACTGGGAGCTGGATGTGGTGGTTCATGCTTATAATCCCAGCACTAGGGAAATAGAGGTGGGAAGACTTTTGTGAATTTGAGGTAAGCCTAGGTTATGTAATGAGGTTCAGGGTAGACTGGGCCCCACAGTGACACTCTAAAAACAAACAAACAAACAAACAAACAGCCTAGCCACCCACAGAGCTGGCATAGTAGTATACCCCTGTAATACCAGAACTTGGGAGTTGGTGGCAGGAGGGTTTTAAATTTAAAGTTGTCCTCAACTACAAACTGAGTTCATAGCTAGGTGAGCAGTCTCAAAAAAGGCAATTCAGCTCAAACAAACAGATGTAATGGAAAACAATGGTTCTCTTTTTTTGAGCAGGGTCTCCCTGTAGCCATAACTGGCCTGGAACTTGCTATGGAGACCAGGCTGGCCTCCATCTCAGAGATCCACCTACCTCTGCCTCCCAAGAGCTAGAACTAAAGGTGTGTGCCACCATGCCTGGCTCAGAACAATGATTAATTCTTGCTCAATCATGAATTGATATAAATCTTAAAACCAGCATATTGTTATATACACATAACATTCAGATAAATTATAATTATAATTTCTAAGTTATGGCCTTGTCCTAAAGACTCCAATTAATTCCTGGAGGATGTCTGTCTCTACTTATTGGCTCTGTGGCTCCTTAAAAGTCATCTTCAGTAAGCCCATATGCTTTCTTCAGCCCTGCGTGTTTGGCAGCTGACATTCCTTTCTTCTTGACTGGAGGTTGCATGAAAACATCTTTAATACCTTTGTCAGTGTGGAAAGCAATTCCTTTGTGGATATGTAATTCCTAAATGCTCCATCGGCTAGTCGTTTCTTTACATTAGCAACTTTGTGCTGGTTTGGGAATCTTACTGGTGCAACTGACTCATGTCCATCAAGCTGTAGAACTTTGAGATATGGAAAGGCCTTATCTTAGTTCTTCTTTAGTTCATCTGTTACATCAATGAAGGTCCTGATTTCTTGGCCAACTCCTGGGAGCAATGACACTCTCCTGCTTGAGAGACTCCTTTGGTCACATATGAATACATAACACTAAATGACTTCATCTGAGCATATGCTGCAAACAATTTTACTTGACTGATAAATGCCTTTCCAGTAGGCCCAAGATTTGCATTACCTGCTGATTTACCCAACATGAATTGGAGCATCTTAACACTGATTTCTTTCTCAGCAAGCCACACTGCTGTAGGTTAAAGCTGTCAGTGATCACTGCATTCAGTTCAGTTTCCAGGGGTGGTGCACCTTGTCTTATAGCTGCTAGCAGTGCTTGAACCACCTGTTGAGTTGTTGTAGAGGGTTTTGCTGTGGTCTTCTGACCAGGCAATAGATCACCCCAAGGGCCATTTTAACATCTGTTTATACTGCAACATTGTTCCCATAGGCCCATGGTGCTCCTTGTCCTTCCAGAAGAAGGGTCTCAGCTGCTCACCAAGAACACATAGAATTCAGTAAAAACAGCTAGGATTGATGTTGCTAAAGTAGATACAACTCCTGATGTCGTGGCTGTGACCGTAGCTGGAGATTCCAGTACGAGGGTGCATGCCCCTATCGTGCCATCTTAGGTGGCAACAATACTCCTTCAACCTCATCAAATGCTACCTCTAATTGATGCATCTTAGTGCCCTTTGCTCTTGGGGTCCTTGTAACCAGGGAAACCTATTTTGAAAACACGTTGGGGATATTCTGATGGAATTTTAGGGCATTTTTTAGGTAAGATGCCGTACTTCTATGCTAAACAACAGGAGCAACTGAGCTACGTGAAGAAAAACCAAAAGAAAGCAAACTATGGAAATATTCCTAAGGGAATTTAATAAGGGAACTGTGGAAGTGGAATGGAATTATTTGTGTGCACCACTTGTTCTTGAGGCATGTGAGTGTGGGTACATGTGCTCAAGCATGTGGAGGCTAAAGGTCAACGTCAGGTGCCTTCCTGATACTCTCTGCCTTCTCTATTTTGAGACAAGGTCTCTCACTGAACTTGGAACACACTGATACAGCTAGACTGCCCAGCCAGTGAGCTCCAAGGATCTGCCTGTTTCTACCTCCTCAGTACTGGATTACAGATGTATGCTGCTGTGCCTAGCTTTAAAAAATTTTTTAAAATTTTTATTTGTACAAGTGTTTTGATGGCAGTATGCTTACTAGTATGTGTGTAGTGTTCTGTGAAGGCCAGAAGAGGAAGACAGAGCTGCCATGTGGGTGCTAGAAGTCGAACTGGATCCTTTGGAGGAAGGGCACATGCTCTAAACCTCTGAGCCGTCTCTCCAGTCCCTGTGCCTAGATTTTTATGTGGATGCTGGGGATCTGAACTCTGATCCTGATGACAAGTACTTTACTGACTGAACCATCTTCCTAGCTTCTCCATGAAATGGAACACAACAAAAGGTTCGACAACATAACCTGCTTCACAGCACTAGGTGGCAGTGCTGCTAAACAAATAACAGGATCTGTGTGCAAGGGCAGACTATGGCAAATCACATAGCTTCTGACCACACTCAAACCTCATTATTTTATAATTTCTTGGTTTTGGTTGAAAAGATGTCACATGCAGTCCTCAAACTTATTATTTTCTTGCCTCAGCTTTGCATGTTTGTAATCCCAGGGTTGGGTCAGTGGATGCCATGGGTTTGCTGGCCAGCTACCCTAGCCTACTTGGCAAGCTGCAGGTCAGTGAGAGATCTCTTTAAAAAAAAAAGGTTGGTGAAATGGCTCAGCAGTTAAGAGAACATGCTACTCTTGCAGAGGACCCAGGTTCAGTTCTCAGCACCCACATGGTGGCTAACAACGGTCTGAAACTCTAGTTCCAGGTGATCCAGTGCTCTCTTCTGACCTCCTTGGGTATTGCACAACACAGGCAGACTTATAGACAAGCAGGCAATACACTCATACACATAAAATATTAAAAAAGATTGATGGCCCCCAAGGAATGACTCCTGAGGTGTCCTCTGTCCTCTACACATATACATGTACAGGAATACCTGAACATACATGTAACATAGCCCCCAACACCCTCTGAAAAATAAAAAAACAAACTTGTAGAGCGGGCATGATGGGTACTTGAGCATCTCTAATCTAAAAATCCACAAAGCTCCAAAATTCAGTCTTTTAAATCTCAATATGAGGCCACAGGTAAAAAATTCAAGAAATGACTGCATGTGATAAGATACAGTCAAAACATAGGCACCAGGCTGGGTGTGGTGGCACATGCCTTTGATCCTAGCAGATCAGGAGGCAGAGACAGAGGCAGGCAGATCTCTTGTGAGATCTAGGCCAGCATAGGCTGTAGGGAGACCCAGTCTGGTGAGACACTTCTGGTGGTCAAGTACTTCAGTTAAGGGATACTCAATCTTAACTGCCCTATCATCTAATACTATTTAGCAATAAAAGTTAACAGGGGCTGGAGAGATGGCTCAGCAGCTAACAGCACTCGCTTGCTGCTCTTGTAGAGGAACCAGGTTTGGCTCCCAGCAACCTCATGGCAGCTAATAACCATGCAGAATTCTAGTTCTAGGGAATCCAACACCTTCTTCTGGCCTCCATGGACATTACACACATATGGTGCACGTATATACATGCAGGCAAAAGACCCATACACATAAAATACCTTAAAAAAAAAAAAGAAATAAAGAAGCAGATGGGTTTGTTAGAGAAAGGCCCCAATCAAACAGACTCGTTAGAAGGCTTCCACTAAACGAAAGGTATTAAGAGTGCAAAAGGAAGAAACGAACATATCCCTGGAAGAAAGTACAGCAAGTCAAATGAATAACGAGACCAAAGCCCTGTTCTGAGGCAGGGGCATGCCTGGCTCATTTAAAAAAAATGCAAGTCAGATATTGGAATTAGGGCCACGTGAGTAAGGTGGAGGGAAGAAGATAAAGCTGATCAGAGGTAGAGCCTCACGGGACATTGCTATGATCTTGGCTTCTATGTGAGAGAGACAGGATATCACCAGATGGCTTAAGAATTAAAAAAAAAAAAAAAAAAAAAAAAAAAAAAAAACACAAAAAACAAAAAAACACCCATTTTTATGTGTTATGAGTGTTTTGCCGGTATGTATGTAAGTGAACCCATATATACAGTGCCCATGGAGGCTAGAAGAGGGCGGCAAATCTCATGAAACTGGAGTTACAGATGGTTGGTAGCTACCCTGTAGGTGCTGGGAACTGAACCCAGATTCTCTGCAAGAGCAGCCAGTGATCTTAACCGCTGAGCTATCTCTCTAGCCCTACCACTGGGGGGGGGGGGGTTTAAGCAGCAGAATGAAAGTTACATTTTACCAGGATCACTATGGTGCCTTGGTTGAGACTAGAAAGGAGGTTGCTGTACTGTGCAGATAAGAATTTCACAGGCCTGGGAAATGACCTGGGCATATTTCATTGTGTCACTCACCTGGTCCAGACAAGTGACAAACCAAACTTGCAATGCAGTTCAAACTCTCACAAAAATGTTTGTTTTGTTACTTTGACAAAGCTAAGGTTTAACCATACAAACCTTCTCCTGTGACCCACAGGGTGTCTCCTCTAGAGTCTCGGTGCTTCCCAGATTGGAGAGCTGAGTACTTGGCTGTAATCCAGGGCTGGAGATATTTGAGTCGCCCATCTGATTCTTGGAAAAAAATTAAAAGAAAAAGTCTATCATCTGAAAAAGGTTTGCTGTTTAAACTCTGGCTCACAAAATAGCATCTGAAGTTACCAAAATGCGGTAATAAAAATAAGCCAAAAATCTTTTAAAATCTCATATAATTTCCATAATAAAATTCCTATAAAGCTGAGCATCTACTTTTAGTCAATGTTAGCCCCAACTGTTTTTTTTACTCATTCATTTTAAGGGAAAGATGCTACTGCTCTCCCATACTTCCCTGTGATTTAAATGGCATAGGATGCCCCAGGCTGTTTAAGGCTACACAGTTCTGTTTGTGCACCCACCTGTACAATCAGGATACAGAGTATTTCCTCCACTGCAAACAATCTCCCTTGTGATGCCACACTGAAGTCACACCCTCTGACTACCCCTAGCAACCAGTAGCTTGCTCTCTGTCACTATGGATTTGTCTTTTAAAAAATGCTATATAAAGTGGAATAAGAACAATACTAAAAGTCAAGAAATAAAAACAAAAATAACAAAAGAATACTGACTTCTGCCACTTAGGATAAAGCTTCTGCGATTTAGCCAAGCTGATGTATGATACCAATGGCTCGTTCCTCTTTATTGCTGAATATACATTTAGATTATTTTCATTTGAGAAAATTATGTAGTGTGTTGAACTCACAGAGATCCGCCTGCCTTTACCTCCCTAGTGCTGGGATTAAAGGCATGTGTCACAACCCCCGGCTAAATTCCCCACTCAGAGCAAGCGAGAGTGCGCCTGTGTGGAGACCAGAGGAGGACATCAGGTGCTCAGGTGTTCTGCTCTTGTTCCTCACCTTATTCCCTTTGAGACAGGGTCTCTTGCTGAACCTGGGGTTCACTGCTTTTGGCTAAACTGGTTGGTCAGCATCCCCAAGGATCTTCCTGTTCTACCCCTATTTCCTCCACACTGGGGTTATAGGCTGGCACAGCTATGCTTTTTTATGTGGGTTCTAGGGATCAAATTCTGGTCCTCACGCTTGTGTAGCAAGCTTTCTTATCCACTGAGCCATCTCCCCAGCCCTTATTTTCACTTTTTGATTACAAATATAGTTTGAATAACTTTTGTAGACATAATTTTCATTTCTATATACCAAGCAAAGGTAAATCAGGGTACTATGTTAAGAACATTGGTTGTTCTTGCAGAAGACCTGGGTTTGAATCCCAGCATCTACATGGCAGCTAACAACTGTCCATAACTCCAGCCCCAGGGTATCTGACGGCCTCTTCTGTCCTTTCGGGCATTGCATGACATGGGTGCACTTACCTACATGCAGGCAATACACTCATACACATAAAATAAAAATAATAAAACTTTTTTTAAAAGTTTTTTTTTGGGGGGGGGAGGGCTGGCGAGCTGGCAGTTAAGAGCACTGATTGCTCTTGCAGAGGACCCAGGTTCAAATCCCAGCATCTACATAGTGGCTAACAATCCTCTATAACTCCAGTTTCAGGGTATCCGACACCCTCTTCTGACCTCTGAGGGCACTGCATGCCAGAGGTGCACTTATACATATGCAGGCAATACACTCATACACATAAAATAAAAATAATAAATAAAATATTTAAAAAAGGGACACTTTTGCTATGTATCCCAGACTGGCCCTGAACTCACAATCTTCTTGCCTCAGTCACTTAAGTCTAGATATTATAAGTGTGCACCACATTCCTAGCTCAGTTGTAGTTCTTTTTGGTTGTGTTGGCATTGATGTGCACGTATGTGCATATGGAGGTGAGAGGTTGGTGTTAGGTGTTTCCCTCAATTATTATTATTTTTTTGAGCAGGGTGTCTCACTGTACCTGGAACTCACTGATTCACATACTGACTGGCCTCTCTTTCTAGTCTCTTATCTCTCTCCCTAGTGCTGTCCTGTGCCTGAAAACATGGGTGCTGGGGACTGAACTCAGGTCTTTCTGCTTGCATGGCATGTACTTCACGGAGCAGCCCTCAGTCAATTAGCTGGATGTCTACATTGAGATCTACATTGTTTCAGCTTCAGTTGACTTTTATACAGGGCTACATCTTCGTTAAGGTTCATTTTTGTTTGTATGCATGCATGTATCCAATTGTCTCAGCATCATTTAAGTTCTAACTTGCTAAAGGTGATACTTCAAGTGAAGATACTTTTGAATCCTTGGCTGGAGATGTGGCAGAGTACTTGTCTAGCATGCCAAGTCCTTGGTTTCAAACCCCAGCACTGCAAAACTGACAACACCACACGCACGCATGCACACACAAAATCACACAGACACAAATCCTTAAAGATCATCATTGAATAAACATGAAGTTATGAATTTTTGGAAACCTAAGGTACATTCAGAAGGCTTGCTCTAGCTTTTGATAGGCATTGTTTATGTCAAGCAAGCTTAATAGGAAACAACAACAAAAACTAAAACAGCTCCAAACTTCACTGCAGAGACAAAGTAATTTAAATAAGAGTAAAAAGCATTTTTCTTGATACCATGCTATATAGACACATACTTAGTATTGAAACAGGAATTCAAAATTTAATGAACAGATAACATGCAGTGTCCCCCCACCCTTTCTATTTCAAATGATAACTCTCATATTATTTCATAACTTTTTTTTTGAGACAGGTTCATGTACTCCAGGCTGGCTGGAAACTCACTATGTAACTGGGGTTGGCCTTGAACACCTGACCCTTCTGCCTCCACCTCACAAGAGCTAGGACTATAGGCATGTGTCACTAGGCACATCATTAATTAGTGTTACCCATTTGAATTAGGGTGAAAGAGTCTGTGAAAGGCTATGAAATATTTCAGTCTTCTAATACGCTGTTCTTTGAACAGTGTCATCATCAACCACTATCAATCCCATTACAGGGAACTTGAAATATAGAACATAAACTCAATGTTCATAACAAGTTCTTTTTTTGGGGTCTTTTGAGACAGGGTCTCCCAGTAGCCCCAGCTGGCCTTGAACTCAGAGATCTACCTGCCTCTGCCTCCTGAGTGCTGAGATTAAAGGTGTGTGCCATCACTCCCAGCTCATTGATACATGTGCAGGACCTTTGTTGAAGGTTTATTTTTTGTGTGTTAATGATGACAGCCACCTACCATAAGATTTAGGGGACACGCACAATCACAGACAAATTTGTTGCAGAGTAAACACTTAAAGAAGTTCAGTCCCCAGTACTGTTAACTGGGTATGGTGGTGCACACCTCTAATTCCAGCACCTGGGAAATAGATGCAGGAGGATCAGAAGTTCAAGGTCATCCTCATCTACACAGGGAGTTGAGAATAGCCTATGTAAAATTCTTTTCATCCACTAATTTCATTTCTTAAAAGTAATTAATCTTAGGAGATGATTAATGCTATATACAAAGAGTTAGTTCCAGGTCTATATCGTTGAAATCTGTAGTTCTTTAGAAACAAACAAGTTACAAAACAACATTTAACAAAAATTAATGTACACAAATACACTATATATACTTAAACTTTTTTTCTTTTGTCTTTTAGAGACAGGGTCTCCCTGTAGCTCCAGCTGTCCTGGAACTCACTGTGCAGACCAGGCTGGCCTTGAACTCACAAACATCAGTCTGCCTCTGCCTCCCAAGTGCTGGGATCAAAGGCGTGCACCACCATGTCTGGCTTAAACTTATTTTTGGAAGGCCACATAACAAAGCATTAACAACGATTATTTCTATCTGGTAGAATTACTGCATTTTCTTCCTTTTATTTAGTACAACTTTGAGCATAAAATTTCCTATAGTAATTTGCATTGCTTGCCAGGAAAATAATGATGAACCTACAGATAAATAACAATAAAAAATACTGTTCTTAAAAATTTGTTTCCTTGAGTGGAACCTGGTGGTGCATACCCTTTAATCCTTGTACTCAGGAGGCAGAGGTGGATCTCTGTGAGATGGAGTTCACCCTGGTCTACATAGCAAGTTCCAGGCCAGCTGAGACCACAGGGGAACCCTGTTTCAACCCCACCAACAAAAACAAAATCTGTTTTCTTCAACTGAAAAAAAAAAGGTCTAAATCTAGGATTATAACTTGTGGCTAGAAGCAACTCAAAATGGACCAAGTGTAAAGGCCTGTGATTTCACACTACCTGTATTGGTTACTTTTCTGTTGCTGTGTGATAGAAACACTGACCAAAGCAACTTATAGAAGGATGAGTTTATTTGAGCTTCTGGTTCCAGGGGAATTACAGTCTGTCATGGTGGGGAGGCATGGTGGCAGGAGGTGGCTGGAGCAGGAGCAGAAAGCAGAGCACTCATACTTTTAAGCAGGCACAGTGAGCAAGAGAGTGACTCGAGATCTTCCAAGACAAGAATTCTCTAAGCCCACCCCACTGATGTGTTTCCTGCAGCACAGCCACACCTTCTAAGACCCCCCCCACCTCAAAACAGTGCCACCAACTGGGGACAAAATGTTCAAATACTTTGAGCCTATGGGGGGCATTCTTATTCAAGCTACCACACTATCTTTTATTACACAAAATAGAGGAAAGTTGTTTAAAACAGACTATAAAACTTTTATAGAGAAAATGTTTATAGAGTTTCAATTATTCAAACAGTCTCTATCCAAATGCTGTCCTGGTGTCACTTCTAATATTGGCTGTATATGGCAAGACAATGGGCAAACAAGCAGGAAAAACAAAACCCTTATTTAAAGAAGCTTTCTTATTTCAGTTTTCAAAACAGAAAGAATATCCTATAATGTAATGTTAAAAGATTTAACTAAATGCCTCCATATGCTTCACTTCTGCAGTAGTTATGAAACTTGTAGATCTCTTTGAGTTCCAGGTCAGTCAGGGCTACATAGTAGTGACCCTGGGTTTTTAAAAAACAAAACAAAAACAAAACAACAACAAAACCTTCCTTTCTTCTTTTTCAGGCTGAGAACAGAGAAGCCACGGCCACTCTCTACAACAGTGTCCTAGGGAGCAGTATCTACAGTTTCTGTCTCATGGGCACTCTGATCCAATCATCACTCAGGGGAGTTGACTATTATTATTTTTTTAAAAACCTTTTTTGTTGTTGATTTATTTATTTTTATGTGTCTGAGTGTTTTGCCTGTGTGTATGTAAGTGAACCTCTGGGTGCAACGCCTGTGGAGGACAGAAGAGGGCATTGGATCCCCTGGAACTGGAGTTACCGAAGGTTGTTAGTCACCATGTGGGTGCTGGGAACTGAACCTGGTGTTCTTTAAGAGCAGCCAGTGCTCTTTTTTAAAACAAATTTTTTACTTATTATTTTTATTTTATGAATAGGAGTGTATTGTCTGCATGTATGTAAGTGCACCTGTGTCATGAAATGGCCTTGGAGGTCAGAAGTGGGTGTTGGATTCCCCTGGAACTGGAGTTATGGATGGTTGTTTGCCACCATGTGGGTACTGGGAATCAAACCCCAGTCATCTGCAAGAGCAGCAGATGAAACTTCCCCAGAAATACTCAGGAGGACTAACTTCTGTCCTCCATTTCCTCCCACAGTAATTCTATAATGATTACAGGAATAGAAAAAGCAGCCTCACCCTCTCATACTCATCCTTGGCTCTGCTCAGCATCTCCAGGATGTCGATGGGCCTCTGGTCACTGCAGCCATTGGCGTGGCTAGGACTCTGTTTATCTCGAGCAGCCTGCTGGGATCGCCGTGTCTCCTCTTCTACCACACTAGAGGAAGAGAACCAGGTTTCAGACAGGCTACTTCACACAACTGGACCCCAACACTCTTTTGGTGTCTACCTTCTAAGGATAAAGTAAGAATGCCACATGATACTGTCCCTGCACTAGATAACAGTGAGCCCTGGTTACCTCATTCCAGAAATACATAACTTACCATTTCACCATCTCATTCACAACAGTGAACATTCCTTCACCTTTAGAAGGACAAATACAGAGAATTCTTTCCTGGAGGTGGTAAAGTGGGTACATTAGAAACTCCATTCAAGGGCTAGAGACATGGCTCAGCAGTTAAGTGCACTTGCTGCCCTTCCCAGCATCCACATGGTGGCTCACAACCACCTCCATGCATGTGCTGCACATATGTACACTCAGGCATACACAAATACAGAAAATTAATTTAACAAAACAAAAAAACCCAGATAAATTAATAAATTAAAAAAACCCCTACATTCAAGGGTCTCCTTTTCTCTTCCAACTACTTCAAAACCAGTAAGTAATTTGGGCTACCCTTGAAAATGAGTCTTGGTGAATTTTCTGTAAGCAAATAAAAGGCTCTATACTACATGGGTGACCAAACTCAGGGTGGTTTACTTTGCTTTTATTGGTACTATTTAATTCTTCACTTAAAATTTCATAAAGTAAGCAAAGTCTCAAGAATGCCCCTGACAGGGTTGGGGGTCTCCAAATCTATCTGCAGCTTTTCGTTTTAAAATAGTATCCTCAGCTGGGCGTGGTGGCATGTGCCTTTAAACCCAGCACTCAGGAGGTAGAGGGAGGTGGATCTCTGAGTTTGAGGCCTGCTTGGACTACACAGTAAATTCCAGGCCTGCTAGGGCTACTGGGCGATCCTGTCTAAAAAAATCTGAAACCCAGCTGGCCGTGGTGGTACACGCCTTTAATCCCAGCACTCGGGAGGCAGAGGCAGGTGGATCTCTGTCAGTTCAAGGCCAGCCTGGTCTACATATTGAGTTCTAGGACAGCTGGTGCTACAGGGAGATCCTGTCTCAAAAAAACCAAAACAAACAAACAAAAAAATCAAAAATCTTAAGTGGCAGCTACTTGTTATAGGCTTGGGAACAAGGGGTTAGAAGATTAAAATGTTAGGAAGGCTGGATGGGGAGCACATGGATATTTTATTTCCTATATAGAGTTTAATATTACAACAGATTTTTAAAAAATTCTTCTGGTCAAGAAATTATTGGGAACTGATTACTACAGGGTGAAGGAAAGCTGATCTTCTTTAAGAGAGTGACTATAGATAGACTGACTAGACTTTAACTTACAGGCAATGATGATAGGCAAAAAGACAATTTAGCACTACAAGGTTTACTCTGAAGGGATATAAGTAACAGGATGAGCAGGTCACTCAGTGTCAGGTGTCAGTTCATGGCTTTACCACAGTCTGCCAAGACTCCTAGTGAGTGTATGTAGAAGGCAATCTGTCTCTATTGTTTAACACTAGGTTAAATAATAGCAGATTATTTTGGCGTTTTTTTTTTTTTTTTTTTTTTTTTTTTTAAAGATATCAGAGCTAGGGGCTGGAGAGATGGCTCAGTTCATTAAGAGCACCAGCTGCTCTTAACCAGCTCCTAGTTGGTGGCTAACAACCACCTGTAACTCCAGTTCCAGGGGATCCTATGCCCTCTTCTGGACTCCACAGGCATTCCATAACATGGATGTACTTACATACATATAGGTAAACACTCATAAATATTAAAAGAAAAAGAGCCAGAGCTGGGGAGATAGCTCAACTGGTAAAATGCTTGCTTTGCAAGCATGAGGACCTGAGTTTGAATGCCTAGTACCCATATAGAAAGCTGAGTGTGGCAGTGTGCATCTATAATCTCAGTGCTGGGGAGGCGGCAACAGGAGGGTCCCTGTGCCTTGCTGGTCAGTCATTCAAGCAGAATCAGTAAGCTCCGGGTTCAGCGAGAGATCCTGCCTCAAAAAATAAGCTAGAGAATGATAGACTTGACATCAACCTCTGGTCTCTACATACATCCCCCCACCCCCACCCCCACCCACATAAAGCTAGGTATGATAGTGTGTGCGTGTAATCCCAGTTCTGGGGAGTCAGAGAGAGGTGGATTCCTGAGACTCACTGGCTGGCCAGGATAGCCTATTTGGTGAGTCTCAGGCCCTGTCTCAAAAAAAGGGCAGATGGTACTGGAGACACCTGATGTTGTTTTCTGGTCTCCACAGATAGCAGAACCATTGAGTTTTTGCTTACAGGCTCTCCCTATATAGCTAGTCTCCAACTATTTCTGCTTAAGCCTCCTGAGTGTTGAGATATAGGCATGCACCAATATACTCAGTTGCCAGTCTGAGTTTTTTATTGTTGTTTTTTGAGACAGTTTTACTGTGTAGCCTGGAATTTGCAAAGTAGACCAGGTTATCCTTGATCTTGTGATCCTCCTGCTTCTGCCTCCCCAGGGCTGGGATTATAGGTGTGCATCTGGCTCCATCTTTGTGTGTGTATGTGCATGTGTGTGTTGCATGTAGGTGAGTGTGTAGGTATGTGTGCCCATGCAGCTCATGTGCAGGCCAGAGGCAGCCGTTGATATCTTCACTACTGCTCTCTGTGAAATGTCTCTCCCTAAAGCGGGATGCTCATTCTGGCTAGGCTGGTCAACAAGCTCCTGGGATCCCTGTCTCTGCCTCCCAATGCTGGGATTACAGGCATATGCAGCTATGTCCAACATTTAAATGTAGATACTGGAAATTTTAACTTAGGTTTTTGTGCCTGTGTAACAAGCACTCATCAATAAGCCAAATCCCCAGGCCCATTCTGAGTATTTAACATGCTAATATGTATTGCAGTTCTCTAAGAAAGGTTGACTTGTAGATTTTCCCAAACTTTATTTGACCGTAAAAAATCTTGGCTGTCCTTTTTAAAATTTTTTTAAAAAAACCTTTTTGCGGTTGGGCATGGTGGCACACCATGGAGACAGAGGCCGGTGGATCTCTGTGAGATTGAGGCCAGCCTGGTCAACATACTGAGTTCCAGGTCAGCTGGGGCTGCAGGGAGACCCTGTCTCAAAACCACAAACCAAAACCCCCAAACCCCACCAAACCCTTTTGCAATGACAGGGATTAGATCATGGACTTATACACCCAAGGCAAATGTTCTACTAAGGAATTATACCCTTAACCCTTTGCTGCTTTACAGTAACAGTTTCTTTTTCTAGAGTCTTAGCTTTTAAGAAGGTAGTTACTTAAACGAAAACCGTAGAGTCGTAGGTTTCATGGTAGACTAGAGAGGGCTGGCAGTGCTATGGGAACCAGGCTCAACATCAACTGTTTACTTAATACTTAGCTCTAGGTCACACCGGCCTGATTCCACCAGCAGGAAGGACCCTGCCACAAGGTTTTCTGTCTACCTCCTATGCTACCTCACTTGGCCAAGCCGTTGTTCAACTCTTTTCTAACTTGGATTAACTCTGTGATGGTGGCTGAAAGGAAGAACATTTCTAATGATCTCTGCAGTTCACTGTGGACCAAGCCATCTCAGAAAGCTAAGTGCTGCTGAAAACAAAAGCAGTTGGGTGCCGCTGAAGGAGCTCACATGAATGAGAGTGGACTCTACGGCACCTTCCAGCTCAAACTTAATGAGCAATGGCCTTGTCTCTTTTTTCCTTTCAAAAATCAAAAACATGTTCCAAAGACAGTAAGATCACGAGGGAAGTTGATTTTTCACAAACTCTCTGAAGTCTGTACAGTCATTCTGGGAAAACATTCAATTTTTTTTTTTTTCTTTTTGAGACAGGAACTCCCTGGAGCCCCAGCTAGCCTGGAACTCACAGAGATCCATCTGCTTCTGCCTCCTGAGTGCTGGGGTTAAAGGTACCAAGCCTGGTTCAAACAAGATTGTGATGTTAAGTTTAGAACTTTGTCACTGACCAAAGATAGTATCTAAATTTTAGATAGCTTATCAGTGTAAATGTTCAATTTCCTACATAGCTTCTCAGCTCTATAAATACTTTTTGGAATAAATCAATTTTTTACTTGCAGAATTTTTATTGTATTGTGGCTATCAAAGAAGTGATCAGAACTGTATTTAATAGACTAGGAACTGACAGATAATCTTATTTATCTATTCAGCTTATTGCAGACTAAACACCCCAGGGCCTGCCTAGAACATGCTAATCAAGTGTTCTATCACTGAGCTACATGCCTAGCCCAGATTCACTTGTTTAAATATACATGTTAGGTTGCAAGAGTACTTTTGGTTAAGGGCTGATATTCTGAAGTTCATGGAGAATAGACGTCTACGCAGGTAGATTTAGAATGAAAACAAATATATTTTAACTTTTGGTGACTGGAAGAGTCATTTATGCCAAGGCTAGTGGTAATATTTGAGAGGCATTCTCTTAAGCTATAAATAAGTCAGGTGCTTAAAAACTTACTATCAACAGGGTACTCTCTAATCACTTTTTTTTTTTTCAGCCACAAGGTCTCCCTATGTAGCCCAGAACACTATGCAGCCCAGGCTGATCTTGAACTCACAATCTCAGTCTCAGTACCGAGTGCTGGGATTACAGACCTCTGACTTCCTATTCACTTTTAGTACTTCCTTTGCATCTGGTCACACAAGCAAACTTTAGGAAATACCCTTCTTCTCAATTTCCACTTCATCACACTTTATTTTCAGATAGGTCTTCAGTCTTCAGCTTCAATTACTACTGAAGTCTAATATTTGGGGCACCACTAAGGCTCTTAGTTCAAAATGACTTTCTCTCAATAGTTGTTAGGGCTAAAAGCAGCAGATTCTTTCAAGGTCCAAAGGCTCTAATTTTACAGGAGACAATGAGAATTAATATATTTCAAAATTTAGATATTTATGTCTAAGTAACCTGAAAGCTAAGCTGCCCTCACTGTCACTTTCAAAATAAAACCAACAATAGAAAAAGCAATTATTAAGTAAATGCTTTGGTTGAGGTCATGGGGTAGGGCCCTTATGATGGATGGCATCAGTGGCTTTGTAAGAGACTCAGAGGTGCATGCTTGCTGTCATGTGATCCCCTCCACCCTTTTCAGATGCCAGCACCATGCTCTTGGTCTTCCTAACCTCTATGCCTATGAGCCAAATAAATCTTTATTCTTTTTTCTTAAAAAATATTTTATTACTTTTATTTTATGTGTATGTGTGTATTACCTGTGTGTAGGTAAGTGCATCCCTGTCATGCAATGCCCGTGGAAGACGGAAGAGGCTGTCAGATTCCCTGGAACTGGACTTACTGACAGTTGTTACCTGCCATGTGGGTGCTGGGATTAGAACCCAGGTCTTCTGCAAGAACAGTCACTGTTCCTAACCTCTGAGCCATCTCTCCAGCCCCTAAATCTTTATTCTTTATAAACCACACAAATACCTTTTGAAAAATAGTATTAATTTTTTTTTTTTTTTTTTTTTTTACCAGATACAATGTTCAAAAAAGCTGGGTGTGGTGATGCACACCTTTAATCCCAGCACTCAAGAGGCAGAGGCAGATGGATTTCTCAGAGTTTGTGACCAGCCTGGTGTACATGTGAGTTTCAGGTCATCCAGGGTTCCATACTTAAAAACTTTTAAACAAGAAAGTATGCTTCTAGAAAGCCAACACTTTGCCTGGAAAGTGACCACCAGCTTCAATCAGGACATGCCAGTAGTCTTGGGTTATAACTTGGCTTTGCATGTGTTTTTTTTTTTTTTTTTTTTTTTTTTTTTTTTTTTAAAAAAAAAAAAAAAAAAAGAGGACGATAAATCTTTCACTGTGATATATCAAAATAA